CTGAACCATCTCTTTGTTTCTTAATGGTTATTTTTTTCTTAATGATTAAGACTGAGCCACAGACAATTTAGAAAGAGTTATACTTAGGAAAAAGATTTAGAAAAATCTAGGAGACTATATTTCACTCCCTTAATAGCAAAGAATGTACCCTTTTTAAATACTTTCAAATAAGTTTTAAAAGATCAGTGAAATTACACTTTTCCAAGCAGTGACTGTAAATACACTTTGAAGCTTTATCAGGGGATATTTAATGAGACTCATCCTGATTACAATTCTGAATACGTATGCACTCAGTGTGTGTTCTGGGAAGACAAGGCCCGGCCTGTCCAACATAGCTGCAGTACACGCTGAGCAATATTGCTGAAATGAACAAACTCAAAGAGAGGCCCTCGGAAGCCTCTGCGTCACAAAGGTACCAAGAGAAATAAGAGCCATCTTTGGCGATTTTATAAAAAGCACATAACTCTATCCGTGGGGACAACACAGTCCTGTCTGGAGGCTGAGTCTAAGCACTATGGCCTCTTCAGCTTCCTTCCTTACCCCCGCATTCCCAATTTGACATTTTTTTTTTAAAGCAACAATGACACTTATACCAGTTCCCACAGTATAAATCAGGGATTGCAAACTTGAAGGTCTAAAGGAGTCTAACAGCTGACGAAGATGCTTGAAGGCAGCTGGGATAAGGAAAATGGACCCGAGACACTGGCATCTGATCAGGATGGTCACTGTGCTGAGAGGCCAGTGAGCACTGCCCATGGGGGAGCCACGGTCAGTCCCACGGGTCTCAGTGGTTCCCAGTTCTGCTAAATTTTTCAAGAGCAACTTGAAACTCAGAATTCTTAGTATTAATATATCTTAATCTTTACATGTTGGCAGCTACACTGGAAAGACCAGACAAAACAGATGTGGGGACTATAATCAGTCCTCAGGCCGCTGACCTACATTAAATAAAACCACATACACATCCAGACAAGTCAAACGCAGACTACGTTTTTCATTGTCAGTTAAAACACTGTCATAGTCAGAATTCTTACAGGATGATCCACATTCTCTGATCATGCCCCCTTAAAAAAAGGTTTAAACAATCAAATAGTTTATCCTCCTCTTTAAGGAGCTGGATAAACTATTTTGACCAGTTTAAAACAGATAGTAGTGGTTGGTTTGGTTATAAATGTGTAAGCCAACACTAAAAAAAGAATTATATCAATAAAAATATCATTTAACATTTGCTACACATTCATTTCATAAAGTATTTTCAAGCACATCTTGAAAACGAGGAAGGCAGTCAGAAGATGTGCTGGAGCTCACCCATCTAGGTGCATGAAACCAGCTTCTTGGCACAGATGCTTCACCCACCAGCAGTTTCAAACAGAGCCAAGAATTCCCTCCAAAGCACACGAGTATGCCTAACTAAGGATTCTGTCTCCCAAAATCATACATTCTAGATTAACAGGACACCCGAGGTCTTACTACACTGTATTATAATATGCATATTCATTAGAAAAAAAGGCATTTTCATTTACCTGCAATTTTGAAAGATCTCCTGTATAATATTCATCAGCTAAGGAATCAGATGACATTAAGACATGAACCCATGGATAGATTAAGCCATAATGACCGCAGGCGTTTATCTAAAACACACAAGAATTTATCATAAACAAAATATAACCAAAAAAAACCCTTACTTTATCCATTCCACAAAAACCAAGCAATCATTAATCCCCTGGTACATCAAAGAATTATGTATCTGCTTTCCTGGGAATGGGAAGGAAAGCTTTTTAGAATGTATTGCCCTGGAAAATGTTGCAATCTTGCTGTTTCTACGGTGCATAATCTGTACTAAATATTTCCTTATATTTTAAAATTTAAATATTCCAAACAGGCACTTTCTAGCAAAAAGAGCAATACTATTTTTAAGTTAATTATACTTGAAAGAGTTAATAATAATGGAGATAATTTTTATTTATAACTATTTGCTTTGGGAGGCAAAATATTTTTCATAAATTCTCAAGATAATTCCAAAGAAGCCCGCCTTATTCAAGAAGCTGCTGACTTTTCTAGTCAACCCACATTATCCATGGCATACATGAAGGGCTACCAGGAAGGAGATGAGACGAGGGAGCAGAAGGGGTAGACAGAGCAGTTATAGCTGCCTCCAGCGCTACAGAACAGCTCTGTGTGTACAGCTGCCAGGACACGGGCCGAGTAAGGAAGACGCCCGCCCACAAGGTTTCCCCAGTTCTCCCACCAGGATGGTCTGCAGATGTCTCTTTCCCCACGTTCTAATTCATGATCCTTCCTGAGGAAGTACAGACGCCCTGATGCTCTGGGGAGAGCCCCTTCCCCTTCGCTTTGGCTCCTGAGGTACCAGTATAGTGAGGGACAGTATTAAGTAGCGGGCATTCCTTAGAGTATAAAATTATTTAAAATGTGAGCAACTTCAGTCACACACACAAATTTTAAGTGTTATTTTTAACTCCTGCTTAAACAGGAAATCTGGTAAAAGTAAACTAGGTCGATTTTAAGTCATTAAAAATAAGACAGTAGAGGAAATTTACCTAACAAATGGAAGCAATATCGCCTGGTTCTTTGCACCCTTGATGAATCCCCAAAGTAAAAATAAAAAAAGGAACAAAAATAAGAAAGTACATTTTTTGTAAAGTGCAGTATAGAGATGAGTTTAAAGTACTGTTTCATTGTCTTACCAGATCTTCTGACGTTCGCAGTGGTGTGGTGTCAGGAGGCTGCCTCTTAGATAACCTCCAGATATATTGTGATATGAGTTTAAAAAAGAGTTCCTGAAGCACCACATCTGGGAGACACGCCACTAGCTGAGCTTCCCAGAAGTCCACCAGGAGCTGAGGAATCGTATCTTCATCTTTAACACAAAGCACCTTGAAAACAATGAAATAAGCCTCTATATCCCAGATAAATATAGGAGCATTGATCAAGTTATAGTTGGGCTGAGTATCACACTATCACGTGGAACATGGAATTAATTTAGACATATCGAACAGGAAACAGATTCCAGGTTGCATGAGTAGAAAGTTTCTAGATATATTCTTCTAATATGTACTCCTATCTTATGAATTAGGTGTAAATCCTTTTTTTCTAATAAACAAATGGAAAACTGCTCTTATTCTACTCTCCACTGATTTTATCAGGCCATCTAGAAAAATTACATTTTCAAAGTGGCAAACCTTAAAAAAGGAATCTGCTTCTTCGATTCCAATTTTGTTGTTCTTCTGCAAGCCCAGCACTGCAGCCACAAGCAAGGCAGGCTGAGTCTCCTTCAGGTGATTCGCAAGCTCGGTGGGAATGACCTGTCCCTTCCTCTGTTGAATCAACAGTCGAGGTTCCAGAATGAAGCCACAAACCAACTTCATCTTTAGATAACAAAGAAATTAGGAACAAAATGTATATTTTATTCAGGTTGTCAAATCTTAGAAATATCGTCCATACAGGCTAGCGCACTTGTGATTTACTGGTAAGCTACTAATATTTACTTTAATTGCTATTTTGTCTTTAAAGATAAATTCCTCCCCCAAGAAGAATGTCACTTACAGAAGTTACGGATATATAACTAAGAATCCAGCTGTCCTATTTTTGTAGAGCTTTATATTTACATCTATTTGACTTGAAAATAGTCAGCCTTCCATATCTGTGGCTTCTATATCCGTGAACTCAACCAACCACAGATCAAAGATATTCAAAACTGTTTCTGCATCAATCATGTACAGACTTTTTCATGTCATTATTCCATCAGCAATGGAGTACAACAACTACTACACAGCAAGTATATTGTACTAGGTATAGTAAGTAATCTGGAGATGATTTAGACTATGTGGGAGGATGTGTGTAGGTTATATGCAAATATTATACCATTTTATATATCAAGGACTTGGGCGTCCATGAATTTTGGTGTCTGTAAGAAATCCTAGAACAAACCCCCCATAGAAACTGAGAGACAACTGTAATACATCGTTTTTCTTTCTCTTTTTTTTTTTTTAACATCTTAAATTTTTTTCAAAATTATGGAAAGAAAATTCATTTTTCTAGAATTCTATCCTTTAAAACAGAAGATTCCCCAATGTTGACTTGCTCTCCTCATCATAAGAAAACATACAGTGATAAAGCACTTCTGCTCTTCTAGTTGGAGAAACTAAAGTCATACTATGGGCATCTGCGCGCAGTCAGACGACAGTACAGAAGCAACGGTTCTGAAGTCAGGCTGCTGCCTTCAATTCCACTTCCCCACTCGCCAGCCATGTGATCCTGACAAGTTAGTTAACCTCTGTGTGTCTTAGCACTTTCACCTATACAACAGCTCTAACAGCAACTACCACACACTATTACTGTGAGAAGTCAGTGAGGTAACATATGCAAGGGGCTTAGAATAGGCCTGGGACATAGTAAATGTTCAATTCACATTTATTTCTCATTCCCCTAAATGATTACTACCTTTGGCTCATGTCCCTAAATGACCTCTTTTTCAAGGGAAAGACCTGTCTTGGACATTGGATGACACTGGATGAATCAAATGTCTAATCCTGCATAAAATCACCTGTGATTTGTCCCAAGTGGAGGCTTCCTGCAACTAGACTCCTGAGGCTTGTGGTTAACACCCCCCTTGTTGTACTTACACACACATCACTCTGCTCCTTTTCAGTGAATAGGTCACATCCCTTACGGCAGATCAGACTGTCCACTTCGGGTAGAGGCTATTCTTCAGCACCAAACTCAGTTCTCTGAGTATACCCGACACTAGGTTGACAGGTCTCTGAAAACCCACTGCTGCCATTTTCTAATCTATTTCCTTTTCATTTATCAAATCCAAAATCTCACTTGAACCACTTCCCTTCTAACATTAACTATGTTTTCCAATAAGACCAGGAAAATATAACCTAAAAGGACGACAGAAGAAAGCTAAGCATCTCAGAACCGCCAGGTCCTCTGCCAGCCTGCTGTGAACACCAGGAGGGGCACCATACCTCTGAATGGCTTTTCATTTCATTTCTGTGCACATCAAGATCTCCCATTTTCAGAGCCACTGCTGCCTTAGTCAATGTCAATAGGATCGATGACAACCCAGAAACGTCCAGCTTCCTTAGATAGCTCATGGCCGTGGAAGGATTAATATTCTTCACAGAGGGACTACAGAGGACATGGGGAAGTTGCTTCGGCTCAGCCACATAAAACATCTGAACCACTTTCGCTGCTAATTCCTTTGTTGAGGACAAACAAGGAATAAAAAAGTCAGCAAAAACACAGCAACAAAATCACCCCCCCCCCAAATTATGTATCTATACACACACAAAGCTGAGTCACAAACACTGCAATTAACATACAATTATAGTATTATGTTTTGATTTTTAATTATTATTGAAAGTCTCAATTTGTCACCCTGGGTAGAATGCTGTGGAGCCACAGATCACAGCAACCTCAAACTACTAGGCTCAAGTGATTCTCTTGCCTCAGCCTCCTGAATAGCTGGGACTACAGGCGTCTGCAACGATGCTTGGCTATTTTTTTTAGAGATAGGGATTCAAGCTTGCTTAGGCTGGTCTTAAAACTGCTGAGCTAAGCGTCCACCTGCCTTGGCCTCTCAACAGCGCTGGGATTATAGGCATGAGCCACTGTGCTGGCCTTATTGGTTGAGCACGGTGGCTCACACCTATAATCCTGACACTGAAAGGCCAAGGTGGGTGAAGTGCTTATGCTCAGAGTTCGAGACCAGCCTGGCCAAGAGTAACATCCCATGTCTACTAAAAATAGAAAAACTAGCTAGGCATGGTCATGGGTACCTGTAGTCCCAGCTACTTGGGAGGCTAAGGCAAGAGTATCGCTTGAGCCGAAGAATTTGAGGTTGCTGAGAGCTATGATGATACCATAGTATTCTACCCAGGGTGACTGAGTGAGACTCTGTCTCAAAAATAAAAAAATAAAAAAATAAAAATATATGGGGCGGCACCTGTGGCTCAAAGGAATAGGGCGCCAGCCCCATATACCAGAGGTGGTGCGTTTAAAACCCAGCCCTGGCCAAAAAAAGAAAAATAAATAAAATAAATAAAAATGTATATAAAATATAACATAAATATAATAAAATAAGAAAATAAAAAAATAAAAGACAGAGTTGATGTTAATGTGTGGAAGACCTAAGATGACCTGAAATGACCTCTTTGCTGAGTTGTAATGAAGAAAAAGCAGTGAAAATATGTACCAGCATGTGACCAGCATTCCTAATTTTAACAGTTTAGAAAAAAAGAAATATTTGATTAAATTACACTTAAAAGTCCATCAAAAAATCTACAACTTAGTTCAAAATATACTCAATGAAGTAATTTACATGAAAAAATTTCACTTCTCTCAAAACCTTAAAACATTTGATAGCACAATTTCCAAGCTGGAATATCTGTACTCACCCATGTTTAAAATACTTGAGACACTAAAAATAATCATTAATAATATCTTAAGGCTGGGCCCAGTGGCTCACACCTATAATCCTAACAATTTGGGCAGTCATGGTGGGAGGATTACGAGGCCAGGAGTTCAAGACCAGCCTGAGCAAGAGCAAGATCCCATCTCTACAAAAAATAGAAAAAAGAGCCAGGAATAGGGGCGCACACCCGCAGCTCCAGGAGCCAGGAATAGGGGCGCACGCCAGCAGCTCCAGGAGCCAGGAATAGAGGCGTACACCAGCAGCACCAGCAGCCAGGAATAGGGGCATACACCAGCAGCACCAGGAGCCAGGAATAGGGGCGCACACCAGCAGCACCAGCAGCCAGGAATAGGGGCGCACACCAGCAGCACCAGGAGCCAGGAATAGGGGCGCACACCAGCAGCACCAGGAGCCAGGAATAGGGGCGCACACCAGCAGCACCAGGAGACAGGAATAGGGGCGCACACCAGCAGCACCAGGAGACAGGAATAGGGGTGCACACCAGCAGCTCCAGGAGCCAGGACTAGGGGCACACACCAGCAGCACCAGGAGCCAGGAATAGGGGCACACACCAGCAGCTCCAGCTATTCAGGAGCCTGAGGCAGGAGCATTACTTGAGCTTGGGAGTTTGAAGTTGCAGTAAGCTATGATGACGTGCCACTGTTCTCCAGCAAGAATGACAGAGCGGGACTCTGTCTCAAAAAGAAAAAAAAAGTTTTAAAGTCACTGGGCTAAGGTTCTGTAGAGAAGTTTTGTCATGAGAAATGGACAACTAACGCAGGAAGGAGCGCAGATGAGAAGAAGGCAGGCAAGGCCCACTTCTGAGTCACTCTGCTCAACACCTGCTGCTATCACAGGGTGGGTCATTCAAGCACAAGAGACCCCGTAGCTCTCCGTCTGCATAATGGGAAAGCATGAGTAGATGACCCACAGTTCTTTCCTAAGCTAGAATTCTGTGATCATTAATGAAGAAAAAAGCACATCACTTTTTTAGGAAAAAAAGAGCATCAAAGAGTAGAAATACTTAGAAGTTGACTTGTAAATGGTATTAAATAAATTACTAAAATTAAAAGTTAAAGATAGGAAATACAAACAAAAAATCATATTCACTTCACTTAATTCTTCATCCAGGTTTTCATAAAGTGAATGGTTGATATAAAAGATTAACCCCCTCTCATATTTCTGGGACATATCCTCTACTGTCCAGTCCACACGGGCCAGAACTTCAGCCAAAGACAATCCAGACATCTTATAGTATGGCAAGGTGAGGTGGGAATGCTGGGTGTCAAGCCTAGAGGGAAGGAAATTTAAAAAACTCTCAAATTCACAATTTTTATGCCTGGGTATCTAACACATTTCATGATAAAACAGATCACACTTTCTAAAGGACAGAAATCTCATTGCTGAGAGTAATGGGAATAAGTTCCTAAGTTTTATTTTACAAAATGATTCAAATGAATGCAGTTTCTTTGCTTGCTTCCAATAAAAATAGCAAAACAATAATTTAGTAAGTGAATTTTAATATTAACAATGTGCTTCTATAGTGGTATTTATAGGCAGAAAAAGTCTGTTATATTAATTTATAATCATTCACAAAGGTCAACTAAGTCTTCAAAACTAACAAAAAAAATTGTAAACATTATTCTTAAAAATAAAAGCACTATTCATCCTAGTGTCCCCTTCTTCTTCTTATTCTTTTTTTTAGTTTTGGCCGGGGCCAGGTTTGAACCTGCCACCTCTGGTATATGGAGCCTGCACCCTACTCCTTTGAGCCACAGGCGTCGCCCCCCAGTGTTCCCTTCTGACATCAACAGAAGCATTGACTGCTAACATTAAAACTGTAGACTGTGGGTCTTGCGCTCCTTAAACCCTGCTTGGGTCATTCTCTTTGACTGTTCTGCCTGTCTCATGGGGACACTAGCTTTCACTTTGTTATTGCCATCTTTGAGCGAGCATCATATTACAAACTGCTACTGCAATTCAACTTTGAAAAGTAATACATAGATACCATTAAAAAAATAAAATAAAATAAAATTGCAGACTGTCCACTGACACCTCTCTTGTACTCTAACAGACAATAAACTAGTAATACAGCTGTCTCAGAGATTTTCACTGGTTATGGGCCTAAAAATCCTTTTAATTCATAAACTAAGTAGTGGGATACTCACGAACCTAAAATTTGCTGCTCATCTACTCAATTATGACTCCTTGAAGGCAGGGAATGGGTCATACTCATTTCTGTGTCTCTAAGCCTAGACTAGTACCTACCACACAGTATGTATGTGCTTAATAAATGCCTGTGGAAGAAGAGGATACATGATCCACCTCCTCTCCTGCACTACATCAGCTATTAGGTAAGTACCAGAGATGGAAAAACTAATCAGTGCACCCAAACTTCAAGATGGCTTTTGTAACGTGGTTTCAAGAGGCGTCAACAACCTGCTGTAACAGTCCCCAAGGTGCGCACAGCTTTCCCTAAATGCTTCCAAAAGCTCTGCTTTCTCTCCGGGTTCCAGCTGACTGGCATCCATCAGGGCAGCTCTCACCAACAGATGAGCCTCGCTGAGAAGATGAATGCAGCTCTGGGTTTTGGCCGTCTTATAGGTATTGCTATAGTCTACCTAAAACAGAAGAGACAACACTAATGTTGCTGCAGAGAAGCCCCTCAAAGGCCTCCCTGTTCTTAAGAATAATTAGACATTTTGTTAGTAAAGTTAGTATTTGGACATACTAAGCCCTAAGTGGTTATTTACTATTAGTAAATTAGAATAGGACTTTAAACTAGATTAAGTATTGTGTTAATGTCAAATTTACTGAAGCATATGGGTGTACTGTAGTTACGCGATAGATCATCCTGACTCTTAGAAAATACATGCTAATATTTGTTTGTGAAGTTCATATTTGGACATACTAGGCCCTAAGTGGTTATTTACTATTCAGGTGGGCCTTAGCTGAAGTCCTTTTTTCCAGCACCGCTGGGTCAGTTTAATACATACATAACTGTAAACACAACCTTGTAAAACACCTCTGATCATTAGTGAAGGTCCAAATAACACTGTCATATTAATAATATTGTTAATTTTGCAATAAACTGACCCCAATGTGATGACTAATGAACATATTTGAAACACTTAAACTGTTTTTGATTTAACTCTTTCTCAAATACAGACTGAGTATCTCTCCCAAATAGCATCTATCTATTTGGTTTCAGTTGTTGAGTTTAGCTTCTACTGTATCAATCTGCATAACTCACAGTGGCTCACAAACGTTACCACCAGCTAATCTGACTCAATCAGCATGTTCAGATTCCTGTAGCCAAATCACAGAAGTCTAGGACTTAAGAAAGAATAAAAAGACAGGGCAAAGGTGATACAATTATCAGCATTAAAATGCCAGGTACAAATCAGGCTACACCTGGCCAAAAAAAAAAAAAAATTTATTATCACCCATGAGGGGTGTATGAATATCCTGTGCCTCCAGATGTGCTACCCTAAAAAAACCCAAAAAACACACCTCTACTGTATTCTGTGAGAATGCACAACCATTAAAAGAAAAAAAAAATCAAACAACCCCCCAATAAAGAACACTGTCAAAAAAAAGACAAAAGGGAAAAATTATATTTTTCAAAAGTATCAATGTCTTAAAAAGAAAGGCTAAAGAAATATTACAGATTCAAGGAAGCTAAAGAGACATAACTACTCATTTAATTACTATTAAATTAAATGTAATTAATCCTTATTGGATCATTGAATCATTATTGGATCAACTGACAAAATTAGAATATGACTTAAAACTAGATTAAGTATTGTGCTAATGTTAAATTTACTGAAGCATATGGGTGTACTGTAGTTATGCAATAGATCATCCTGACTCTTAGGAAATACATGCTAAAATATTTAGGGGCAAAAGGCTACCACGTATCCAATTTACCTTCCAATGGATCGGGAAAAAGGCAGGAACATTTGTGTGTGTGTGTGTTTAAACACATGAGACAAAAATAAATAAATAAATAAGCCCCTAAACCCCCCAAAACCCAGAGAGAGGCAAACGTGGTAAAATACTGACTGGAGGTGAATCTGTGTGAGGAATAAAAGGTTTGGTTTATACTAATCTTATTCTTGCAATTTTCTTTAATGTTTGAAATGTTTCAAAATAAAGAATTAAAATAATTTCCAAGGATGAGTAGGAAGCTGTTACTCTGACAATAGGAACAAGGAAGCCCCTGCAGGACCCTCCCCACGGGACTGTGCTGCGGTTGCTGTGTGATTGCCCTGGGACAATCTGCTAACATTTCAAGAAGACTGACACAGGGATAAATAATCTATGCTTTCTCTTAGCTGCCTTTCACGGTTCTCTTGCTAGGATCTGAAGACAAGGCAAAAAGCTATTTATGTGTATACTGGCTAACTGACCCTCTTAGGAGGGTGGGTATGACTGAGGGAATCTTATTTTAGGGAAGGGAATTTTTACCAGCTCCTCAAACGTCAGAGGCTATGAAAACAAGATGGAGGAGAAAGGTACACACTTCACTGGCAGAGCCTGGAAGGCGGTTCGCTGTGGCGTCCCGGATGCATGGTAATTAGAATCAATTTCTGATCATCAATTTCACTCTAAATATCTATAAGTAAGAATCAAAAGTTTTTAAAAGTACCATCTCTTTGTACAGTTGCACTGGTGAGACTGTATTCACAATATATAAATTCCACCCAGCCTCAGCTACAGGAGGTATTTTGCTCTTACCACTGGTATCTTTTCTAGAACTAAAAGCAAAACAAAGGACAAGAAATGTAAGACGTTAATAAATGACAGTTTTAAATGGTAAACAGTGGAAATCATAAAATAACTGTGAAATTATTTTCAGTAGGTGTTTTCTTCAGTGATTACGTGTATACTCTACTTTTAGAAACCAGTAGTTCACAATACTGCGTAGGCCTATAGCATTTGACATTCTGTAACTGCCACATATTGATAAACCCGTTGCTTCCAATTCACTCCACAAGTTTGAATGAGCAGTAAGTTCAAAGAACAGGCAAGACCCACTGAAAGGAAAAGAGCCTCAGCTGTAAGAGTCCCTGTGCTCAGGGCAACACTCTAAGTCTGCTTAATGCATTATCTCATCTCTTAAGAGATATCTCTTAAGTGAATTCACTATGTGATCCATTTTCTTGGGTATGCAATGTTAAAATTTCTGATCAAATGAATTTTCAAATTAGAAAGTTGTTTAAAATCATTAAAAAAAAAATACTCTACTTTTAGAACATGGAACGTGAAAGGCTACAAATTGCTTTTTCCTTTTGCCAGAAAGCCTTAAGAGTCAGCCAGTCGGTCTTAGACTACTCTGCGTACTACACTCTAAGTGACTAGCCAACCCTGATTCCTGTTGGCGGAACAAAGTTCAGGCATAAGCAGTTTGAAAATGTAAAAACTTTAAAAATAAGAACCTATTTTGGACTGTTTGTTGGTGTTGTTGCCCAGGTTGGAGTGCAGTGTCATCAGCCTAGCTCACAACCACCTCACAGTCCTGGGCTCAAGCAATCCTCCTGCCTCAGTCTTCTGAGTAGCTGGGACTACAGGTCCCCACTCCAACATCTGGCTAATCTTTTCTATTTTTAGTGGAGGGGGGGTATCACTTTTGCTCAGGCTGGTCTCAAAGTCCTAAGCTCAAAGGATCCTCTCCTGCCTCAGCCTCCTAGAGTGCTAGGATTATAGGCACATTCCACTATGCCTGGCCCCTACATTGGACTTGGAATACAAGTCTCCCAAACAGATTGCTTTCTTAGATTAAATTTTCCTTACAGAAATGTTCAAAGTAGATCACATTTTCTACCTCTAAGTTCACAGTATGAAAACAACAAATAAAAGCACAACTAGTTTAGAATGAAGCATTCTCTGCTCAACAGTGTGAAAGCAGAAAACCTGAGTTAACAAGAGATTAACAATCATCAAAATGCAATTTTATTTTAAGGTTTATCAGCATATATCTATAGATTGTGAATGTGCTTTATAGTAAGAAATGCATTATTAATTTCGTTTGCAATACCAAAAAATAATCTTTGAACAAAAATGTAACAATTGAAAGATCAAAGGAAAATACAAGCCAGTCTTGTAGTTTGCATTGGCATTTCCAGCCCTGTCTTTTCCATTAATTACATAGAAAATCATGTCCTTTAACATTTCATCTAAAATACTACCGTGCTTCCCCCAAAATAAGGCCTATTCCCCAAATAAGCCCTAGCAGGAATTTCATGCATTTGTTAAATATAAGCCCTACCCTCATAATAAGACCTAGTGATGCATAGCCATGCCATGCATTTCAGCGCAGAGATAAGACATCCCCTGAAAATAAGCCCTAGTGTGTCTTCTTAAGAAAAAATAAATATAATACAATGTCTTATTTTTGGGGAAACACGGTACTGATTTTTACTGAAACTATGTTATAATTCATTTTCTTCTAAAAGGTCCAACATCAATTATTAAGAGTATTAAAGATATCATTAGAACCTTCCCCTCTTTCTCTAGAAAAACGCCAGCATAGAAAAGCCATTGGTCATTTCAAGTTTTGGTTTTAAAAAACATAAACACACATAAAATATACCAGTGACAATTCATTCCACAAACTCTGGCAGGAATGCCAGGGTGTGAGAAGATGCTTACAGAAGCCTCCTGGGGGAGTCTCTTCTCTCTGGAATGGCCTCAGGTTCAGCCTTAGTCAAAAGTATAACGTGGTTTTTAAAGTGACAGATGGCTTTCAAGCCTATGAAAAGCTGTATTCTTAAAGCACAGACATCCATACTGATAGGTGGGCAAGCCTAGCAAAGGAAAAAAATCACAAATGTAACCAAGGAATAAGAATGCGCAAACTTCAATCTTTAAAAAACAGTCTGCTTCTTTGGCAAAATCTCTTGCTCCCTCCACAAGAGCTCCCCCCCCCCAAGAAAAAATCCAAACACTTATTCTTAACAGAGTAAGGAGTTATCTGAACCTATGTAACCAATGACCTATTTTATAGAGCTACTCAGTCAACAAACTCTGTATTTGTTGATTGAATAAAAGCAGAAAGAGGGCCCCACAGCTGCAGAGACTCCAGAGGTCTGGAGTGGCCCCACGGACCCCTATGGGAGGGCAGTCCTGGCTGGGAAGCAGCCATCTAGGGAAATCACCACCACCAGCGGGCTGGCTCAGGGGCATGCCCACATGCGATTTCTAGGCAAAATCAGACACTGTAATAGGACATTCTACTGCAGAGTACATAAAATGGTTTCTATGTGAATGGATATGTGCAAGAAATGCTTGTATGCTGGTCTGGATGGCCCTCAGGTGTGAAGAGTGCCTGGAATGGACGACAGGCTGGAGCATGTCAGGTAAACTGGAAGAGCCAGGCTCCTGCGTCTGTATTGGACCACTGATTCTAGTAGATGGGACTAGAAAGATCATGAACAGCTCTTTCTGGGAGCTTACAAACTGCTCCACCGGCCCCTGCCCTCTCACCATTAACCCTGTTTGGATTCTGAGGCCATCTTCATTGTCCTTTTGTACAACGTAACTGGGGAAATGCCTCCATCTAAGGTTAAAGTGGCTGTGGCTAGTGCTAAGGGGCCAGAATTTCAGAGGGAAGGGAGATAATGACCACGTGTTCTTTTGACCAGACTCTGAGGTTGTGAAACCTTTCTCAGACACCACAGCTCCCAATGCCTGAGTCAGCAAGAGAGCTAAATGTGTGGTGTTCACGTGGTAACTGGGATTTCAGGGAAGGGGGAGCCACAAGGTGCTATCATCACTGTCCTTCCCTCTCCCACCTCCACCAGCCTCAGGGCAGCACGTCCCACCAGCTGCCCTCCTCTCTTACTGCTCACTCCCATCTTTTCCTTGTTCCTTCCTTCTGGTTTTATGAGACTCTGAGAAGATAGGCAATTATGATTTTCAAATGCAGATTGATCCTACCTCAATCTGTCATGTAACCTAAAGTGTACCATCACTCCCTACACGAGCCTGGGCCTTTCCAAGGGTTAAAAAAGGCAAGGTGCAGGGAGCAGAGAAGAAACAAAGGATGGAAGCTTTCTGTAATCTCTGTCCCCTTTCCATTTCTACCAGGGAAATCACTCCCTTGCTCCTTTGTAAAAATAATCTCTTATATGGGCTGTGTGTGTATCTTTTACACACAAAGGCAGGGAAATCTGGTTTCGGAAGGCAGGCAGTTAGCCTGGTCAGCAACAGAAAACTACAGCCAGGCCATGGCAAAAAAGGAGTCACTGAGAACTCCAGGGACCCCGCCTTCCATGAAAACGCATTGTGGGTTAACAGTGACTGAGAGAGTGCCTCAGCCACACCAGACACTCCACAGGGGATGGCTTGCTAACATAATCATCACTGTTGAAGGCTTATTCTTCCAGAAAAAGTAGTTCTAGGTTCTAGGTAGACACAAACCAACTTTTGAAATATCATGATTTAGGGGTTTCTTGTGGCGTGTATATTTATAACGAATAGCCATTCCAATGGGTATCACAATGTGAAACAGCATAGATGAATATTATGCGGTATCATCACTGTATTTCTCAGAACAGAAATTCAAGGTCAGAAAATATAGAATTTCATCATAAAAATGCCTACATTTATTTTGTGGCAAGAGCTTTTCAGATGCTGAGCACCTTACTTCTAACTAAAAATGAGGTTATTGATGTAGCACATCCATTAATTCAGATTAAGTATGGAAAGTTGTTGAAGGCTTATAAAATGACAGAAGAGTTACAGGCATATCTGATAATAGTAGAAATAAATCATTTAAAATGCACTTTATTCAATTTCGTGCTCTTGAATATATTGATTGCTGTACTGTTTTAACAGCTCTGTAAAATTGCTACCAGTATTTGTGTTTAAAAAAAAAACACAGTATACCACAGTTTTGAACTGCTCTCTCTAAATTTATACTATATATATGCTCTATCAAACTATAAAAACTATGTACTGAACCAATTCTGAGTGAAAGACTTTCAAGGAATCTTAAAAATGGTTTTAGTATTTACATTCAATAGTTGTAATTCAATACGTAAGATAACCTTAAGACCTTTAGTCCTTGCCAAGCTTAGGCCTAAGAGCAAATCTGTAGGCCTGCGAGCATTCACATTCCTTTTGGATCTTAAGTTCTCACTGTGTCATAAGCCACTTCTGACCTTCAGGGTGGTATCCATGTA